TTCCTGATCTTAGTGGAAATGCTTTCAGTTTCTCACCATTGAGGACGATGTTGGCTGTGGGTTTGTCATATACGGCCTTTATAATGTTGAGGAAAGTTCCCTCTATGCCTACTTTCTGCAGGGTTTTGTATCATAAATGGGTGTTGAATTTTGTCAAAAGCTTTCTCTACATCTATTGAGATGATCATATGGTTTTTCTCCTTCAATTTGTTAATATGGTTAATCACATTGATAGATTTGCGTATATTGAAGAATCCTTGCATTCCTGGAATAAACCCCCACTTGATCATGGTGTATGATTCTTTTAATGTGCTGTTGGATTCTGTTTGCTAGTATTTTGTGGAGGATTTTTACAACTCTGTTAATCAGTGATATTGGCCTGTAGTTTTTTTTCTTTGTGACATTCTTGTCTGGTTTTGGTATCAAGGTGATGGTGGCCTCGTAGAATGAGTTAGGAGTGTTCCTCCCTCTGCTATATTTTGGAAGAGTTTGAGAAGGATAGGTGTTAGCTCTTCTCTAATAGTTTGACCCTAACCCTAATCATAACACTAACCCTTACTGTTAGCCTTTCCCTAAACCGTGCCCTAACCCTAACCCATACGCTAACACTAACCCGTGCATTAACACCTACGCTAACCCTAAACAGTTCTCGTACCCTAACCTGTATACTAACCATTCCCATTCCAGTTCCATAAACCTAACCCTAACCATAACCCTAGTGCTTTCCCTTAGCCTTACCCTAAATAGTGCCCTAATCCTAAAACGTAAGCTCACACTAACACGTACCCTAACACATGCGCATGGGAAACCTAGAGTATGGTCCACCATGTCATTGGTGTCCATTTTATTGGCATAGAGTTGCTTGTAGTAATCTCTCATGATCTTTTGTATTTCTGCAGTGTCTGTTGTTACTTCTCCTTTTTTATTTCTAATTCTATTGATTTGAGTCTTCTCTCTTTTTTGTTGGGGAGAACCAACGAGAGACTAGCTGTAGGTGTTTGGACGGGCACATTGAACTCTAATTTCCCACCAACAAGAAGAATGAACCAAAGACTCAGCATGCCGTGCGTGAAACAGACTAGGGTCTGAAGCAATCCTACGGGATGGCAGGTGCAAGGTTAGGTTGTTTATTCGAGATGTTTCCTGTTTCTTAAGGTGGGCTTGTATTGCTATAAAATTCCCTCTTAGAACTGCTTTTGCTGCATCCCATAGGTCATCGTGTCTCCATTGTCATATGTTTCTAGGTATTTTTTGGTTTCCTCTTTGATTTCTTCAGTGATCACTTCGTTATTAAGTAGCAGCCTATGAAAATAGGCAGAACGCCGACCAAGATGCCCTTGGCCAAAAAGTGTGTATGCGTTTTTTCCTGAATATATACATGAAAAAACGCATATGCCCTTTTTGGCCAACCAAGCAAGCTTGCAATGGAAATCTGCACTACAATGAACTCTCACTTCCCCCCTATTAAATGTGTATTCTGTTGTTTTTGGATGGAGTGTCCTATAAATATCAATTAAGTCCATCTTGTTTAATGTATCGTTTAAAGCTTGTGTTTCCTTATTTATTTTCATTTTGGATGATCTATCCATTGGTGAAAGTGGGGTCTTAAAGTCCCCTACTATGAATGTGTTACTGTTGGTTTCCCCTTTTATGGCTGTTAGTATTTGCCTTATGTATTGAGGTGCTCCTATGTTGGGTGCATAAATATTTACTTTTATATCTTCTTCTTGGATCGATCCCTTGATCATTATGTAGTGTCCTTCTTTGTCTCTTGTAATAGTCTTTATTTTAAAGTCTATTTTGTCTGATATGAGAATTGCTACTCCAGCTTTCTTTTGGTTTCCATTTGCATGGAATATCTTTTTCCACCCCCTCACTTTCAGACTGTATGTGTCTCTAGGTCTGAAGTGGGTCTCTTGTAGACAGCATATCTATGGGTCTTGTTTTTGTATCCATTCAGCCAGTCTGTGTCTTTTGGTGGGAGCATTTAATCCATTTACATTTAAGGTAATTATCGATATGTTCGTTCCTATTCCCATTTTATTAATTGTTTTGGGTTTGCTATTGTAGGTCTTTTCCTTCTCTTGTGTTTCTTGCCTAGAGATCCTTTAGCATTTGTTGTAGAGCTGGTTTGGTGGTGCTGAGCTCTCTCAGCTTTTGCTTGTCTGTAAAGGTTTTCATTTCTCAATCAAATCTGAATGAGATCCTTGCTGGATAGAGTAATCTTGGTTGCAGGTTTTTCTCCTTCATCACTTTCAGTATGTCCTGCCACTCCCTTCTGGCTTGCAGAGTTTCTGCTGAGAGATCAGCTGTTAACCTTATGGGGATTCCCTCGTGTGTTATTTGATTTTTTTCCCTTGCTGCTTTTAATATGCTTTCTTTGTATTTAGTTTTTGACAGTTTGATTAATATGTGTCTTGGCGTATTTCTCCTTGAATTTATCCTGTATGGGACTCTCTGTGCTTCCTGGACTTGATTAACTATTTCCTTTCCCATATTAGGGAAGTTTTCAACTATAATCTCTTCAAATATTTTCTCAGTCCCTTTCTTTTTCTCTTCTTCTTCTGGAACCCCTATAATTCGAATGTTGGTGCGTTTAATGTTGTCCCAGAGGTCTCTGAGACTGTCCTCAGTTCTTTTCATTCTTTTTTCTTTATTCTGCTCTGCAGTAGTTATTTCCACTATTTTATCTTCCAGGTCACTTATCCGTTCTTCTGCCTCATTTATTCTGCTATTGATCCCATCTAGAGTATTTTTCATTTCATTTATTGTGTTGTTCATCATTGTCTGTTTCATCTTTATTTCTTCTAGGTCCTTGTTAACTGCTTCTTGCATTTTGTCCATTCTATTTCCAGGATTTTGGATCATCTTTACTATCATTATTCTGAACTCTTTTTCAGGTAGACTGCCTATTTCCTCTTCATTTGTTAGGTCTGGTGCGTTTTTATCCTGCTCCTTCATCTGCTGTGTGTTTTTCTGTCTTCTCATTTTGCTTATCTTATTGTGTTTGGGGTCTCCTTTTTGCAGGCTGCAGGTTCGTAGTTCCCGTTTTTTTTGATGTCTGTCCCCAGTGGCTAAGGTTGGTTCAGTGGGTTGTGTAGGCTTCCTGGTGGAGGGGACTAGTGCCTGTGCTGTGGTGGATGAGCCTGGATCTTGTCTCTCTGGTGGGCAGGTCCACATCTGGTGGTGTGTTTTAGGGTGTCTGTGGACTTATTATGATTTTAGGCAGCCTCTCTGCTAATGGGTGGAGTTGTGTTCCCGTTTTGCTAGTTGTTTGGCATAGGGTGTCCAGCACTGTAGCTTGCTGGTCGTTGAGTGAAGCTGGGTGCTGGTGTTGAGATGGAGAACTCCGGGAGATTTTTGCTGTTTGATATTACGTGGAGCTGGGAGGTCTCTTGTTGACCAGTGTCCTGAAGTTGGCTCTCCCACCTCAGAGGCATAGCACTGACTCCTGGCTGCAGCACCAAGAGCCTTTCATCCACACGGCTCAGAATAAAAGGGAGAAAAAGTAGAGAGAAAGAATTAGTATAAGTAGGAAGAAAGAACGAAAGAAAGAAGGGGAGAGAGAGAGAGAGAGAGAGAAAGAAAGCAAGAAAGCAAGCAAGCAGGCAAGCAAGCAAGCAAGCAAGAAAGAAAGAAAGGAAAAGAAAGAAAGAAAAAGAAAGAGAGAGAAAGAAAGAAAGAAAGGAGGGAAGGAAGGAAGAAAGAAAGAAGAAAAGAAGGAAAGAAGGAATTATGGGCATCTTTGATGAAGATATTAAAAGACTAATTGGAGGCCACAATTTAACTAACAAAGAATTCTCCTATTAGGAGAATCAATAAAATTACCTATGAGATTTTTATGAACAAAGCCAGGTACTGTATGTTCCTGGAAGTTGTATAGGAATGAATGATTATGTACATATATATGTGTGTGTATATATATCCTAGTTATACTCAAATTACATATTTGAGGAGGTTCTTTTGTTTGTTTGGTTTGTTTTTTTGCATCTAGGTTTGCCAGATACAGATTCATGGAAAATTCATCAGGGATAATCAAGGAAAAGTAAAACCTGTGCTTGATAAGGAAAATAAAAAACTGCTCTGCGGAAAGTGCAAAATCTTTGCACGTTATACAGCGGATATAATAAGAGTGATGGCGGTAGGCAGTCTTTTTAACAAATAGCACTGGGTCATTTTTTAGCACTCATTAAAGCTTATTATCTGTCAGTGAGATATTTATAGTAAGAATACTGTTATTCTGTTGTTATCATGGCCATGGTCCATGTATTTTTAAAAGGCTAAAAAGTTTAAAAGAAACCCTTGATGTTCAACAATAAAGAAATAGCTTAAAAATTGCTGCACAGCTACTTAATTATATATTACATAGCCATTACAAATAATGGTTATGCTAAATGCACCATGGTATCCTGGATTAGATCCTAGAACAGATGAAGGATATTATTAGAAAAAGTGGTAAAACCTGTAGTTCAGTGTAAATCTGAAATTACTCCAAATTAAGTTTATTAAACAAAATGATTAGGAAGCTTATACAGTATAATGAAAAACTTCTTACAAACTAATGGTAAAGTGGGAAAATTAACGAGGATAGAAAGTAGTAAATATGCTATGATCATAGCAGTGCAAAATAATAGCAGCAATACCACCATCACCACCACCAAAAAAACACTTATGTTTGTACAAAAAAAGGCTAAAGGAAGTATACTAAAATGTATTAATATTTTGCAGTGAGACACCATGATTTTTTCTCTTTCTACTATTTTATGTTTTCTAAATTTTCTTTTGGGGATATGGATCACTTTTACAATGGAAGCAAAATCTCCTTATTTTAAAAACATGAGATCTGCAGGTTAGCTTTCTTTCTTTCTTTTTTTTTTTTTTTTTTTTAGCTGTACACGGACCTCTCACTGTTGTGGCCTCTCCCGTTGCAGAGCACAGGCCCCGGACACGCAGGCTCAGCCTCCAGACACGCAGGCTCAGCGGCCATGGCTCTCGGGCCCAGTCGCTTCACGGCATGTGGGATCTTCCTGGACCGGGGCATGAACCTGTGTCCCCTGCATCGACAGGCGGACTCTCAACCACTGCGCCACCAGGGAAGCCCTGCAGGTTAGCTTTCTAAAACTCTTAGATAAGGGTTAGAAAAATCTCCAAAGACAAAAATTGGATGTAACTATTGCTGCCGATTGGGGAGGGTGGAGGGCCTGGGCCGGGTCAGATGATGAGTTATTACTTTAGGGTTCTGTTTAGTCTTCAGAAAGCTGAGTGTCTAATCAGTCCAACATTGGAGCAAGAAGCGTATTAGGGGTAATACTGGCAAGTTCCCATACCTTTCGGAGTCTTTTTCTTTAGCAGTGAAAGGAAGGTCCTTTCAGCTCCAATTTGGGTGATCTTCTGTTGAAATGGCCCTTTTAGACTATGTTTTCCCGAGGGACTGGTATGTAGGATCTGCGTCTGTTCTGTGCACTGTGGTGTTTGTTCGGGTTTATTCTAACGTTGACTGGGGGCGGGGCCAGTGGACACATTAGTCCCTGAGCCTCTTCAGATACACATTGACCCTTTGTTGTTGTTCTCTGTATCCTCTGGATTCTTCCTGTCAGGGCCACTGGTGAACTCAGGCTTTACAGATCTTCAATAAATACCCCTTTGTCTCTGAATTAATAAGGAGTATCTATTTTGGGGAGCCAGGTTGCCTGGAAACTTCTTAGTCCTCCCCTTCATGACGTGTCCCCTGCCCCCTCACTTGCACCTCCACCCTCACCTCCACCTGTGTCACTGGGGGTCAGGCTGCGTGGATTCTACTCTGGCCTTGAGGCAAATCCACATTTCCTTCTTACTCCATCTGTAAAAGAATTGGGATCCCGCCTTCTCATCATCTCTGATTATTGTGGAGTTTTCTTTTTTTAAATCACAATTATGTTCTGGTTCTAACGTTCTGTTTTGTATGCTATTCGATCCCTTCATCTGTAGGAATGCCATTTCACTATGTTTGGAGTTGCTTTCAGGGAGCATTTTGTGAGTAAGTTACATCCCAGACCAAAGAGCTTTGGGAGTTTCGATAAGAGAGCAAAGATCTTCTGTGCCAGGGAGGACTGCAGCTATGACTGGGGAATCCATGTGAAGTATAAGGTATTTGAGAGTCCAGTTATAAAGACTGAAAGTTTTGTGGTGGAAGATGTTGCAACTGGAGCTCAGACACTGTATGCAAAGTGGAAGGACTTTCATTTTGAGAAGATCGCATTTGATGCTGCAGAAATGTCCACTGGAGCTCAGGACCTCAGTCTGCAGGGAATGGGTGACCTTGAGTGAGGAAGAAATTAGACCAGTGGGTGAATCACAGATCACTTGTACCACTGTCAAGATATTTTCCCTAGGGCTTGTACTGTACAGAGTATATATCACTTAACTTCTGTTGTTTTCAGCAGTTTGTACTGTATCACTTACCTAAAACACGAGTGAATGAATCACAGCACTCAGTGAATCAGTTTGTAGGTCAGTAGAGCTTGGGAAAAATGAAAAAGGCTTAACTTATTGCCATTCTTCCCTTCAGAACCCCCTGCCAGTGTGCACCGCTAGCCACTCAGTACACATTGAGATAAATTAATGAGTGAATGGAATGTTGAAAGCTTTTCCATGCTTCCCTTTCTTTCCTTAACCTACTGTAAACTGGCTTTTGCCCTTAATAATCTACTGAAATTGTTTTTGTCAAGGTCACCAGCGACTCTGATGGCCCAATCCACTGGGCACGTCTTAGTCCTTCCCTCTGTTTGACCTCTTTGCTGCTTTTGGCCCTGTTGAATACTCCTTTCTTGGAACTCCCTCTTGGCCACTAGCGCTTCTAACTCTACCCCAGTCTTTTCTATTGGCTCCTTTTTGCTGATCCTTTACACGTTGGTAATTCCAAAGGTTCAATATAGATACACATACATAGGCATAATGGTCACATACACTTGTGTTCTCTGTGTGGCATCTGATCTTAAAATTCGACAGTGGACGATTTTTAGTAATGGGGGCATTTAAATAATACAGTACTCATTGAGAAGTTGATTTCTGTTCTTTTGGTTTACTGTACATCTTGACCGATTAGTTTGTTTTCTTAACCTGTGCCATTGTTCCCTTCGAATGGTCATTTCAAGCCATTTTCCAGTAATAGTTGATGGTCAACATTCGGACTCTGTTCTCAGGTAGGTCCCTTGGATGATACTGAAGGGGCAGTTTAATTTGGCTGTCCTTTATATTTAAAAACTTAGAATACATATCCAAATGTCATTCCTGTGTCATTTAACAAGGCTGATGCTCCAGAGCTTAGTTTGGGGTTTTCCAGATATGGAGACAACTACCTGAGTTTTACTGTCTCCATCCAGGCCAAGGTATTTTATGTTCCGCTCAGGATAGCCTCTATAGTAATTTAAGCATCTTCCTAAAACAGATTCAGATTAGCTGTTTGTAATTCACTAGGACCATCAATGGCTTAAACAAACCTCCAAACATCATAAAATGTTAATATGCTCAACATAAGGGGTCGCATAACTCTTTTCAGATAGCACCTATTTATATCTGAAGGCTTACTGGTGTCCAGGAGGCCACCCAGACCCCCAGATCAGTCCTGGAGATCAGTGGGGTGACCTGCTGCAGCCACCTCTTCCTCCTTTTGATCTGATGAGAGTCAGAGAACTTGCCAGTTACATAACTTCTCCTAGGCTTAATTTTCTTCGTCTGTGAAACAAGGATAATACATACCTGTAAGGGTTAGTGGAGAGTTTTTAACTGAAATAACATAAAGTACTTGATATATAGTAGTTGTTTGATAATGGTTATTAATAGTATTCTTAGTAAGACACAATAAAATGGGTTATTTAAGCCAACTTGCTTGCTAATTTTTATTCATTTTCCATTTATATTTTATTAGAGTATTAACGTTCTGGTCACCAGTTTTAATATGGGCTTTGTTCCCGCACCACCAAGCAATTCACCAACGGGGTGTCCTACCATTCAACTCAGTTCTGCCACTATCTGCCTGGAGATGGCGTCAGATCCCTACAAGTTAAGGGCTCAGTCCTACAAAACTGCCCCACCTCTTCCCTGCTTCAGAAGCCAAATTGTTATTACCTGTGCCTCTGACCAACTGAATACAACCTCCTCTGTGGGCTTAATTTGCTAGAGAGGCTCACAGAACTCAGAGAAACCTTTTACTTACTAGATCATCGGTTTATTATAAAAGGAAGTAACTCAGGAGCAGCCAGATGAAAGAGATGCATAGGGTAAGGTTGGGGAAGGGGGTCAGAGTTTCTGTGTCTTCTCTGAATCTCTGTGTGTTCACAAACCTAGAAGCTCTTTGAACCTTGTCCTTTGGGTTTAATGGAGGTTTCATTATGTAAGCAGGATTGATTAAATCATTGGCCATTGGTAATTTATTCAACCTCCAGCCCCTCTCCCCTTCCCTGAGGTCAGGGGATGGGACTGAAAGGTCTAACCCTCTAATCACGTGGTTGTTTTTCCGGTAACCAGCCCCCATCCTTAGGGGCGGTCCAAAAGTCACTCGTTAACATAACAAGAGACACCTTTGTTGCTCTTATGAAATTCCAAGGGTTTTAGGAGCTCTGTGCCAGAAACTAGGGACAAAGACCAAATATATATTTCTTATAAATCCCAATCTAACAAGTATCTCTTTGTATATGTGATTGCCCTTTTTGAATGCTGCTATTTAAGGACTCCAATAGGATGTAAACAACATCCACTGGAAATCTATTTGAGAAAAGTTCTTGCAAGTATCTAAATAATTCAATTTGGATGAAGGTGAATAATACAGCCAACAGAAGAATGCAGTCTAAAGCTGAAACAAGAAAAATAATTTCCTTGTTTGACTTTAGCCTGGAGTCAAGCCATTGCAGGCATAGAGCATGGAACAGAATAGGCATTTGGTTAATATTTATTGAATGAAAGAAACCAGTAGGTAGGGTTTTAAGAATTGCGCACTCTTAACTGATGTCCAAATGCTGGTCGTTGGATTTCTAGGTCAAAGGCTGCATTTCAGAACCAACTGGGGAGTCTTTTTCATGGCACATGCCCAGCCCCCTTAGAACATCCTGCCAGGGTGTGTCTAGCCACGTGTACGTTTTGAAGTTCCTCAGGTGGTTCTGATATAATCTGGTAACAACCACTCGATCTTGTTAACTCTGTGGTCCCCACCAGTGCTCACCTTGTGATATTTTCACCTGAAATAAAAAGTCACCTTCAGTCAAATGCCTGATTGTGTAAAGGCCAGTAAACTGATTCCCACCCTTAAAACTGACATTATTATTTGAATTTAAAAACAAGCCATCAGGTCAGTGTTTCCTCAAGTGTGTCGTTTGAAACCCAAGTGCTGTGAGATGCTCTGAAGAAAGCCAGTTCTGTGGGCAGAGAGGATTCTATAGTCTGCTGCCCCTCTCCCCTCAAATGAGTGATTTCCAGTACACACTGCCATTGTGTGTCCTTATGTCAATTCTGTGGTAATAAGGCCCGTTTAACCCAGTGGTTCCCAGATACCCTGACCCTGGACCCCTTTTATTCATGGGATGTTAATATCCTGTAGAAGCACAGTAGCAGATACTCAGCCCTGATGCTGACTAGACAACCAGAACCAAATTGGAGTATTAACTTCAGGATCATACCAGTAACTCTGTTTTATTATATTATGTAATAAAACTATAAATTCCACTCAACAAATCTGTATTTAAAAAGTAGATCTCAGTTTTGGGGATGCCAATTATTAAACCTGTTAAAAATATCAGCTGTAATTATATAATCTTTGTGCACAATGATTAGGCTGTCTGGGTGAACAAAAACTACTTGGATGTTAAATTCTGTTTGTGGTTATGACATTTAACAACTTCCAAAGAAGGCAGCCAGTGGAACCTTGGCTCCGTTTTTCAGAAGCAGCTCTCCGTTGCTCCTCATAACCTGCAGGGTGCTCCACACTGTCCTAACTCAACCCTGAAAGGCCAACTGTGCCAAAAATAAGGTTCTTCATTTAGGTGACTAGCAAACTTCCAGTATGTTTAGCCTAGGGAATACTGGGAGACAAATCTCTACAACCACAAATTATTAACTGTGATCCCAGAGCTGCCGGTGGCCATATCCCCCCAAACACGGCCCGCCCCAGAAAAAGGCCGTCACAAATGAAGGGCGAGAGGGGAAACGATAGGGAAGGAACCTGTTTGAGTCATAGATACAATCAAACCTGCCGCCATGGCCACCCGTGTTCTTCAAGTTCTTTGAGCCAATTTTTTTTTTTTGCTTTAGGCAGTTTGAATTGTGCTTCTAACACTACAACTAAGAGTCATGACTAATATATCCTTCCCCTAGATTATTCTCCACTTACACGAAGGCTGTCCCATAGCCAAAGACACATGTGCTTATTTGCTGCATTAAAAATGTTGGTCAGTGAACTCACTGTGCACACCAAGGAGCGCTTGTTTCCCTAGGAGGGATCAGGCAGGAATGGATTTAGAAAACTAAGAACAAAGGAGATGGGAACCCCATAGAGAGGAAGGAGGGGCTGGGTCTAGCATAGAGCAGCACACCTCTAATCTGGAGAGTAAGCAGCCCAGTGCCTTCTTGAGAAACCAGGTAAAAGGGGTCTATTTGTTCAGCCTTGTGGAGAGCAAGGATGGGACACTGGCTGAGACATTTTATCAATGAACAAGATAGTGTGTTTGGAGGTAGAGGAGGGGAGTCCGGAAGTGAAGGGACCCCCATTCCAGAAGTCATAGCTGCAGGAATCTGTTTCCTCATAAGCGCTGATTGTGGGGAACCAGGCTGCTCCCACGCTCCGCAACGGAGGGGCTAAGGGGTGGACGTCTGTTTTCTCAGCCCTTCTTAGTGTTTTTATCCTACGACTGATCTTAATTTGAGGGTCACAGCCTTTTCTTGTGCAACAGGGTTCTGTTTGTAATTTTTATTCATGAACAGAAGCTAGATCCCAGGACGTCAGAGGCAAGGACGCTCAATAACCTGCCTTGTCCGTCATCTGGGAAGAGGTGGAGACAGGATTTGATCCTAGGTGTTCTATTGACCAGCGCACAAACCCTGAGTGCTAAAGTTGAGACTTAAAATTCATTACAAGAAGATTCATTTGTAAGCTGTTAAGGTGCCCTGTTATGGACTGAATGTCGTCCCCCAAAATTCATATGTTGAAGCCCTCCCCAACACTGTGACTCTGGAGATGGAACCTCTAGGGAAGTAATTAAGGTTGAAAAAGGTCACGAGAGTAGGGCCCTTGTAAGACGAAGACACCAGAGAGCTCATTCATTCGTGCTTTCTCTCTG